AAAGAGCAGGAGCATACCCTGATCGATGTTAGGGAGAGGGGTTCACAGCTGGTCTTGGCATCTGGGACTGCAAGGGGTAGGGTATCTACAGTCAAATGGGAACAAGGAATGTGAAACAAGAAAGCAGGGTCCTGGCTTAAAGAAAGAAACTTTGTACCCAGATTCAAAAGACCCGGTGCACCTGAACTTTCCTCCATGCCAGCACACAGCAGTAGGAATCCTTACTCAGATTTTTGCCCTGCTGCTCACACATAGCCTGCTATCTGGACATGCAATTCCAGAATATACATGTAACACACCATAACTGCTCCTCCTATAACTACCCCTCCACTCCATTAAACTGTAGGAGAGTCTTGAGCCAAACAGCCAGGTTGAGCAATCAACTTGAAAACATGTTGTAGGGAAGAACCCAACAGTGGCAGGGAGCTGGACATAGTAAGCTGAAATGGGGATACTTAACATTTCATAGTGTAGCCCATGTTTGCCAAATTGTATGGCAGGTACTTTGCCTCCCATTTAGGGGGCATGGCTTGTACAATCCGTCAGTTAATTATCAAATAGTTATTTGATCTGCAGTTAGTGCAGTTGAGAGAGAAGGATAAGCCAATGCCATGTGACCAGCAACCATATATGAGAGCCTGTAACCTGATGGGTCTTCACTCTCTAATTCCTCGCTGAATCCCTAGTGTGCAGCCTGCCAACTTCTTCAGAGTGCGCACATTCTTGTGTGTTGTGTCCGAGAATGAGAGAGAGCTTAGAAAAATACTCAGCCTTTGTTTCAGGAGCACTGGCAGATGTCTGGTAATTAGCTGACATTTCTGACTATTTACAAACTCCTTATCATTCTGGCCTGCAGTACTGGCTGTGAGAGCCACTGACTGGGAGGCAGTGTGTTTTTGGACTGAATCCAATTGCAAACAAACTATTTCTGAGCCCTGGTTTCTCCCTGCTCCCCTCTCATTCCCTCTCCTTTCCCTGTTGTGAGTCAGATTTTGTGAAGGATGAGAATGTGGAGGTGAAAGAGGAGCGGAATCCCATCCCGGTTAGTGGTGGATACCCCTTCTGGGTCTCAGAGCAGAATGGCAGCCAAGCCATCCCTGCAGTGTCACCAGCACCAGCAGACCAAAGAGAAGCAACTGCTAGAGAGCAACAAGTGCCAACTCCTTCCACCTACCAGACATACAGGTGAGTCCCACCTCCCCGCTGTATACCCACAGTACATATGGTCCAGATCCAGGACTGGCATTTTTTTCAATTTCTTATGGGGTTTTTCTTATAAGGGTGACCCAGTATTTTCTGTTAGAGAGGAAGCAGCATGAATTGAGTAAGGGATATCTCCACTGCACTTAACATGGGGGATTGGCACTTCAGGTAACCAAACTTGAGTGTGAGAAACTTTTTTTCATTGTTTCTCCACTAGTCCAGTGTGTCTGAGGGCATTATCCTTGTTTCTTTGCCCTGAAATGTTTCAGAACTCTTTCCTAGTCAGCTGCAGCATTCGTGGGTGAACTTGTCTGTCACATTGAGGAGAGGGCATTCAAGGGCTCTTATTGCTCATGTGATGTTTTTCCCTCTGTGTCCTCACTGCAAAAGAGACGGGTTCCAGCCCAATTTAAAGTAGAGCCCAGGCTCTTCTGTTACCCAGCTCAGAAAGATAGGAAAGCACCTGCAAATGCAGGTCAGAGGCTTTTTCTCTGGGTAAGTATTAGGGGTCTTGGCTAAAACCCAGGTTAAACGTGCAGTTAAGACTTTCTTAAGGGCTTGTCTAGATGGCAAAGATGTCTAGATGGCACAGTAAGCTCAGGTTTGAATTCACAGCATACTAACTACTCTGCACGAACCCCAGGTGCATATTCTTCCTGCACACTCCACACAAAGTAGCTTACTCCATTTTCATACTTGCTACACACTACGTATGTTCACATGGGAGGTGAGTGCAGACTGCTAATGTGCTGTAAATTCACACTGGATTCACTGAGCTCTTAGTTTTCCCATACAGATGAGCCCTAGATGGGCATAGGGAGGGAGGCAGAGCTGCCAGAGTTCAGATATGGAAACGGATTACCTTGATAAGCACATTGTTTTGAGAAGGAAAGTTGACGTTTAAAATTGCCTGGGGAAGTGATTGTGCCCCATGTCCATGGCCTACCCATGCTCTCCTGGGTGAAGTTTTGAACCACATCCCACATAGGTTAATTCAGAGTATTTATGCTGGCGTGGGTTTGACTCATTCTTCTCTTCCCCCCTCTGGGCCCAGGTTCCATGACACGGGGGACACGCAGCAGGCTCCCGCGCGCAACGTCGCCACTTTGAATGAGTTCCGGCCCAGATCCCACCCTTTGGACATAGCCACAGTGCCGGACCACGATTCTAAACAGCTGTCAGAAGGTTTCACCAACCTGCCTACACTACCCCCACCTCTGCCTCCTCCTCAAGACTACACAGGGGTGGTCAACATGGCTGTAGACTCTGCTGGGAAGCCAGGGGCCCGAGGTCCAGTGTACAATCCATATGGCGCTGAGCAAGGCCTAGGCCAGTGGATGGTCCCTTCCCACAGCCAGTACAGGGCAATGAGCTACTCTCCCTTTTCCACAGATTATAATGGTCAAGGGGCTTCAGGGCATGCTCATGGGAGCATGGCAGACTGGAGCCAGTACCCTCTGTTCCCCTATGCCTGCTGGTGAAGGGGGAGGACTCTTCCAGATTAAAGAACTCAAAGGACATTGTAACAAAATCCACTTTAAAATATGCTCTGGGGTTGCCACCTTGTGGCCTTGCCTACACTAGGCGAGAGTGTGTTGCAACAGTGCATAGATTGGGACACCATAATCTTGAAACATCAATACAATTCCTTGTGCCCCATGCAACAACCATCCTGTGCGTTTTACAAGTGCTCGTTGCATCTCCTGGGGTCCATATCTTTACTTTAAGTTCTGACTGAACCAATGCATTCTTTGGTGCTTTGCCCCAAGTGTGGATAGATAATTGCAAGCATTGCAAATGCAGTGGTTCAGGTGATTTCCCAACTTTATCCCATGATTCATGCATGTCGTTACATTTAACATTTACTCAAAGAGCCCAGTCCCGGGAGCATGCAAGGTGCTTAAGGAGTCTCAGCATGCACCACAGATGCTCACAACAAAACAGCGGAGCCATGTGCAGAGTGGCTATGTGAAGGAGACATCGTTACATGGACAAGTGAGAGATAATTAGCCATTTCAGATGAGAGTAGCTTCCTCTCTTAGTATAGACAAAAAGTGCAGCTATCCTCCTGGTCCTTTGCCTATAAGGCATATAGAGTAATGCATGCATGCTTGGAGCAGAGTTGTACAGGTCGTGTGGACAGGGGGGAGTTAATCCCAAACAAATGAAACAACTACAAGTTTCTGTGTTTGTCTCTGTGTGCTCTGACTGCCCAGCCAGCCCATTTATCCCCTCTCAGTTCAGCCCTGTCACTCCACATGTACCTGCATTGAGTTGCTGTTCCTCTGGTTGTTTGCCATTTGACCCAAGAGAATTGGAGGATGCTGGGATTCTTGGAGTTCCCCTCGCTGAATAGTGGTGAGCAGCAGTGTTCACGCTGTCTCTCTGACCTCTTGTCTGTGCTGAGACCCTCAGTTGTTCTACCTCTGCCTCTTCCACAGCCTCAGTGAAGTGACCTGTCTAGTTGTTTTTATTGTCCTGCTCCCAGCAGCTCATGCAACAGTCCTGTTGGTGCACAGGTTTTGGCCAAGTTGGTATTTCTCACTAGACGCTTGCTTTAAACAAATATTCCTGTTGAAATACTGCCTGATGAATGAGGTATCATTTCCATAGTGCTCTGCAGGAGCTGCGAGACAGGCCAGTGGCATGTTTCTGCTGCTGCTTTGGAGCCTCGCTAGGAACATAATGCAATACAGATGGGCAGGAGGGTAGGTTCCTCTCCGCTCCACCCTTGTGGTCCTTTTCCAAACTGCCCATCATTTTGGAAAGCAAGTCCTCCCATTTCACTCTAATTTTATTTTCCTCGCAATTGCTGCTGGAGTGGAGTCCTCCTTGGGAGAAACCCTCTGCTTCTCCTGTGGTTATAAACATGATCTTAGACCTTATTTAAGAATGATTTCTTGTAACACTTTAAATAAACTATGGTTTGGTATGTAACAGTCAGCTGGGGCGTGTCATTTGCAATGAGTACAGAGATGTCCTTAAGTGAATGTGTTTTGTACGTATGGAACGCGGGTGTAGGGTGTGAAACCGGGGCGTTGGGTGTGTGGATGTCCTTCTCTCTCAAGACTGGGTATATTCCTTTGAGGCACAGATGTGGTGGCATGTGTGGCATGGGTGTGTCATTGTGTCAGGGTGTCAGAGATTGTGGTTATTGTTGCTCTTAAAATAACTTTGAAACGAAGTACTACTTACAACTTACTGCTGATTTGTATCATTGTGTTGTAGTGCTAGGTGATGTTCTTGTGTGATCAGAACCTCGCGGATCACTTCTGCACCCTAAGCAGGTTGCACAGTATGAGTGCTTCCTCCATCAAACCGAGGACATCTGAGTTATGTAGCAGCAGAAACAGGGACTTAACTTTGCTGCTGCACACAGGTATTGCTCTGTTGGACCCATCTTTGGGTAAAATAAGGGTACATACCAGCTCTGTACCACATCAGTGCTAGGGCAAGTGGCTCATTAAAAAAGGGCATATCCTGGACTAAAAAGAGTTCTGTACATCAAAACATCTGTCCTATCTGTCCTACTCCAGGCACCAGCACACAGGAAGGTAGTGCCAGATGCCAGAGACTGTCTTAGTTGGGGTAGAATAACTGATGAGCAGAAACCTCTAGCAACCATCTTCTGAGGCTTCAGAGTTCTTAAATGAGTAAAATGGCTACAGACCTTTGAAAATCGGTTGCAAGAAACCCAATAGCATGCAAGTTCTAGAAGATTCCCCTCTTGATTTCTCTTGCACTGATACCGTAATGCCCATCTTTAGGAAAGGACTCACAAGATGGCCTAGAAAAGCCATGGAAAGGAATCCTCTTCCCTTTGTAGCCTAAGACTGCTCATCTTACCTCCTTGTCTCTGTTTCACCATCTAGGACATAGATGATATCGTCTTGTCAGGGTGCCATGGGGATTATTCTGTAAACACTTGGAAAATAAAAAACACTGAGGTGAGTCAGAATGGTTCACGACAAAGAACTAGGCAGCCCTGCTAGAAAGCAATCCAGGGCTCTTTAGAAATATGGGCATGATGGCTTTCCATTCTGAAAAACTAGTCCCATAAGGACTGGCACCTTGGATGATGAGTTGTTGTAGCAGTTTAGTCTGACCAGACTAACAGACCCTCCAGAAACCCAACATCATGCTGAGGAAGAGTCCTTTATTCTTAGTTATCTTCTATGTTACAGGGCTATATATATAGTTGTCTTTAGTGAATCATACTGGCTCCACTCAGTAGAGTATTACATTTGTTTTCTTGCTGCTCTCTATGGTTAAAGGCTGTACAGCTTTATTATTTTATTAAGCTTGTGAGTCTTCCCACCAGGTGTGCACTTCAGACACTATTCTTTCTCCTGTCCGTGGTGTTTTCACTGGCTTGCTTCTGTTTGGCTTTGGTATTTTGAAAATCTATATTATCTCAACTGAACTGCTGTTTCCTGTGTCTTAAGACATTGTGTTGTAAAGCTTTAATAAAAAGACAAGGAGACATATGGAAGGCAGGTCATTAGCAGCACCAAAATACAATTATGAGTATGTTTTCTGTGTTTCTGTTTCACACACACCAGTGGTTCCAGTTTAATCACCTTACCTGGGGACAGGTACTGGATGACGTGTCCTCGAACAGAATTTTGTTTTATCCATATGATGTTGATGATCCCACTGTTATCTTCTTGCATCCCTGGATGTGACTCAGAATCCCCTGTATTAACTCCTTGAGGGATTGTGTGTATTCTTTCAATGTTTTCTGCTTGTTTCCCGTAAGACATTGGTGGAGGTGGGAGGGGGAACGTGTGAATTAGGAATAGGGTTTGCATTTCAAGTTTGAAATAAAAATCATGGGTTTACGCTGATTTCCCCTGGCGTTTTTTAAAGCAGCCTAGTCAGCATTGCAGTTACTGCAAGCGGACCTGTGGTCCTGGGTAATTACAGACTCAACACAGATGATGCAGCCAAAGACGTATGCTGAGGCAGCTTCAGAGAGACACTGTTTGCAGAGGATAGTGCTTACAATTAAAATAATTGTCCACGAATCCTTCAACCCATTAAAAAAAGCCTGAGGGACAGGGCCTCCTTTACATGACTATGCTCCTCAAGCCTGTGCTATATTCCCTTTTGTGTTTGCAGCAACAGTAGATAAAAAATCTACAAAGGGACCCAAAACTCCTGAGTTTAAGAAAAGCTTGCCTGAGCCCGAGGAGCAGGATGAACACTCAGCCAGTAAGTCAGGCTGATGCCAGCTGGAAGTATGACATCATCCAGGTAGCCTCACTGGCTAACCCATCACACCTGGAGGGAAGGCGGCTTTCCAGCAGTTTCCAGAGGTCGCAGTGGTTGTGGAGCAAAGGGAGTCTGTCACCTCGGCTAAGTACAGACAGTCAAAAAACCCCAGGTTGAATCAATTCAATCTTTGCAGGTTAATCTAAGCTGCATAGATTGAACCAATAAGTGAGCAAACACACTTTTGATTCTGGAAATGTAGTCATGTGCCTGCAGGGGCCCAGGCCGGGGGGTGCCAGAGCTTGCCTCCCTGGAGCAGACAGCGTAGGCCAAGGCTAGCCTGCCCACCCTGCAAGGGGAGATTTGTGGGGGAGGTGCAAAGCATCCTGGGATGCTGGGAGACTGTAAGTTACCTTGAATCTGGAGGGGATGTGGGACAAGTTTAGTAAACTGATTTAACCTAAATTAGTTAAGTCTGATACTATATCCAGGTCTATCTTAAACTGGTTTCAGCCATTTTTAAAGTGTTTTTTGTGCACTGAACTTCCATTGTGTTACAGATCTGAACTGGCTTCTGATCACTTATACTAGTTAATGTGCCATTTCTGTCCCTCCAGGCTGGATGAAGCCAAAGACTCTCTGGTACCAGGGGAATAAGGTGGAGTGAGAGCAGGAGCTGGGACTGAGCGGGCAGGAAGGGAGCTCTGAGGAGCGTGAGGGAAGGTTCTGGCAAGGAGACTGCAGGCGTGCACTGTGGACTGGCCCCTGCCTTGTGCTTGTGCGAGGAGGAGCAGCTTCGTGAGCCCGTGTCCCCTGTCAGCCTCTGCAAATTATTGCACGAGGGGCTTGTTCCTGCAGGTGTGCACGCCGACTCGATCAGTGGGCCCACAGCTGCTTTGAGAAAAGGCAGGCAGGACAAGTGCTAGGTCAGGGACACGTCCTGCTGCTTAATGTAAAATCATTTTTTATTGTGCAGCTTAACAGCCACTTAACTCCCAAGTACCAAGGAAAGGTCCCGGAAGGAGCCTCATAACAGGAGGCAAGCAGCATTCAGGATAAGGATAAGAAATAGCAGCCTTTGCCGATTAAAGATTAAAGCCCCCTTGGCCATTGTAAAGACAAGAAGCGCTGCTCCAGGTCACTCCGCCCCCCGTGGCTCAGGCCCAGCGGGAACCCGGCTCCTCACAACTCCCTGCAGGCCCCCATGTGCTCAGGCCCACTGCTGCCCAGACTCCTGCTCACGAACGGGCTAGGCAGCCTCTGAGGC